GGAAGAGCGCTAGAAGAACGCATCGGACGGTAACAGGCTGGTCGGATCCTGCCGTGCGAGGCAGGACGGTCGAAATGACAGACTTTTGTTACCCCAGCTGAAGTGAGTGTGTCTCGTGACAAGTGCATTTTCTGGAAAGCGTGGTGGGATGTGGTGCTTGCTCACATGGAAATAGAATCTCTTGTAGAAAGACAACACGGTGGCGCTTGTGACTGCCATCTGCTGTTGCAGATGAGCATCGACCAGGAGGTGCATCTGGTCTGAGACAAGCTTAACGAGCTTGAATTCACATCCCACAATCACTGGTCCATATTGTGGATGGCATCTTGTTCACTATAGCCAGGTCTTCACTCGCAGTCTCTACGATATTAGTTTTTCCAGTCTCGCCCTCCTCAGTACCACAGTTGACGGCGAAATCGAACCCCACCACGGCAAGCCCCGAGACACCAGTGCTTCGCACTACTGGAGCAGTTCACGACCAGTTCGACGCCCTTGTCACTTATCTTCACTATCTCCGAGCCACATATGAGCGCTACGATGGCTGCAACTTTGGCAACCTCATGCGCCATACTGGTCATCCGGCGACCTTTTACAACCTGACCTTCGTCCTCTGGAACCGCAATGCCAAGGAGCCATACTCGTACCGACTTATTGAGAAGCGGACTCGGGCATATATTATCAGACAGAGTCTATGTTGCGCGCATTCACATGATGTGTTCAGCTGGAAATTTGACAATCTCTTCGACGCGGGACTCAAATCCGATACTTGTATGAGTGGAACGACTACTATTAATGTATCTTTCCTAGCGAGGGTAGGTTCCTGCACGGCCTTCCTCTGATAGCCGCAGTGTTTGATCCGGAGGGCAAAGGTCAAGGCATTTCAGAAAAAAGGTGGGGTCCCCGAGAAGGCACAGCTCATCACCCTCGCAGTGCTGTTCGGTTGCTAACAGTTTCTAGATCAAGATGGCCGCACGCTGGAGACTTCAAAGCGAAATCGCCATGCCTATTTCCGAGTCCTAGGTTCACAGAGCCATTGAGGTACCGAAATTATGTATACCCGAAAGTATCCACACAATCAAGCATGTCTACTCAAATTCAATCCTTACACAAATACGTTATTGAAACCTCACCAGCCCGACGGCCCGAGCATGCTTTCTGCAGAGATCTTAGGGTACGGCTGGGGACGATGAATCACCTCACCAGACACGTTACCGAACAGACACAGCAGGAGGCCATCGATTTCACAGTCTCTAACAGAAAATTGCTCAAAACACAACTGTGTTGGGAGAAATCTGGCCTTGGCCGAAGAAATGTGATACTGGAACGAGTGAATGCTTCCCCTTCATTCCTGATATGCCGCGCACTGCTTGATTCTGGGAGTAAGGACGTGAGAAGACTGTTGAATGAACAAACTGAACTCAGGGCTTAGGGGAGCCATGCCAAAGCCATTACGACTCACGAGGGGCGGTGCTGAATAAATGAGCAGCTGTGCATACAGAACAACTGTATCATATGAATCAGTTCTTGGCAAGGATGGAATCTCTATCACCCCTTAAGCCCAAGATCTTTTCCTGCATGGCCTAGAATTGTAGAATGAGTGGCGTAAAGGCTTACCATACTCACCACCAGATGAGTCCTGGGCGGTTTGCAATACTCAGAGCTGGGCGTAGAATATTAAGTACCAAGCTAATCTTGATAAATGGCAAAGGGTATGGCAAACCGGAAAGAATAATGGCCTGATGCCTCGCCATAGGGCAGCTCCCCTCCCATATCTATGATTCAGTCTCCTCAGCCACACACAGAGCCGGCCCCCGCACGAGCGAACTTGCCCAACCTCGAGCACCTACCCTTCCTCCTTGAAACCATCCCCTCTCAACATTTTTGTGCACTGTCCGAAAAATACAGTGATAACGTCTGATTAGATCAATCGATTTGGACTTGCCAAAGGCCTGCACAGCAACAGAGCAACCAACATGTGCTTCAAGTTCACCGACATCGCGTACGAGGAAGAGGCGCCCCCACGGCAATGGCGATACGTGCCAGAGAATGGCCGTTACGTGCTCAAACGTGTAGGTGAATGTGTCTTTCTCTTTTGTGTCACACGAGTGCCCCCTAGAGTCTCTTGCTCGATCGAGTCTGTGCCCTCTGCTGTATGGCGGGTTCAAGTGAATATTCGCGGCAACGTTTGAACAATGAGGGGATGCTGGAAGGCTTTGACTCGTGGGTCTGGCCTACCTAGGGTATATTTTCGGCAAGCTCTGTTGGAGAATTGTAGGAGAAAGGCAGCTTTTGTTTTTGCATCTCATCAGCATCAGGATCAGTTGACTTCACTGGCTGCTCTCCTCGCCTTTGAGCGGAGTCTTTGAGCACTGTAGCCAGTGTGACAGCTGCTGCGGGCTGTGCTGGCTTAGGCGTCAGGACCTTCTTTCTAGTTGTGAATGTGGCATCTGCTTTGCGGGCACAAAATGGTACTTTGTCGGGGCGATCCGGGGCGACGTCGAGGTAGCTCGACAGGCTCCGATCTTGAAGCCGCCTTTATCTTGGTTCCAGCAGCAGTGTCTCCACGAGATAACCCCAAGAAACAAAAGAATTTCAGACAGTCCCTTGTCGAGACTGTTTTGCTTCCAACACCACCACGTGACGTTGCCTTCTTGTCACGCACCTCAAAACCAAGAAGCCTCGCACCACCACATCAGACTGGACACTGAAGGCCGGATGGCTACAACGCGCACACCTTCCGCCATGACCAAAGCTACCGAGCCTTCTAAGAAGAAGGAGGCAGCCTATCACCAGGTTCATTTTTCGGACGACGAAGATGAGGCCCGTGCTTCTGGCTCTGGTTCTCTGAGCAACGGCAAGCAGAAGCAGAAGCAGAAGGAGAAGGCGAAGGAGCGTGAAGGAGACGCTCCTTCCTCGTCCGGAAGCGAGAAGCCCGACGAAAAGCATAAAAGCGGCTGTGACCGCGTCGGCAACCGAAACAACAACACCAACAAAACTTACCGTCCTGCTCCCATCATCGGCGCCAACCCTACGCACGGGGCCAGATACGGAACACACTTCTCGACCAACCCTGGCCGCTCAGTTGGCCCTGCTGGTTATATCAACTTCTCTGCCAACCTCAAGAGCCCCGGCAGCAACCAGCTTCCGACCATCGATCAGATTCCGCTCAACACCAACCCCAGCCACATCATCCCCGACCCAGCCATGGCCGATTACCAGTTCGGCGGCCCTCGCCCTGCTGGCCCCAGCTACCAGCCCCCCGTTCCTGACACGACCTATGGACCGATGACTCATGTCTACCGCCCTCGATTTGACAACGGGGCCTACTTTGTCCATGGTCAGAATGTCTGTAACGATCCTTCTTTCTTCGTTCCCCGCACTGTTTTCCCGCCTGCTGGATATCTGGTCGACCGTCCCATCCTTCCCAACAACAGCCCCGTCTACTATCATTACTATGCAAGTCGTCCCATGTAGGGTTTGATGTTCCTGCCAAGTGGTTGAGAGAAATCAGCTCCATGCCTGGTCTTCATTTTTGTCTTGATCCGATATGGCCTTTTTCTGACATGCCTTCTTTACAGCAGCAGCCCAGTAACGTTACCTATATTGGAACCCAGATGGGCCTTCATCCTCCCATGGTCGTCCCCTTCCAGCCTGGCATGCCCCACAACCCCGGCATGGTCCCCCAGCACATGGTCATGAATGCTCCCATGGTTCAGCCCGGCATGGCTGGCTACCCCGTCATGGGTAACGGCATGGTGATGGGTCCTCCTCACGCAGCTATGGGCTTTGGCGGCGTTGTTGGTGGCGGTGGCGGCCCCCCTGGTGCCCCTCCTCCTAGCATGCTGGTCGCAGGTAACAACCCTCTCCATCTTCCTCCCGACGTTTCTGGCGTCGGTCGTACATCTGGCGAGGTGGCTCTGGAGAACGCCCAATTCGCTTACGCCAACGGCCTCTATGAGCCCCAGGACTTTAAACCTGCCGATGACGACCCCTCGCGCTACTACCCGGTTCGTGAGGTGGATGGTAACTGGACCCAGCGCAACCGGTATACTATTGACAACCTCGGCGATTGCCGCTGGTACGTCTCTGAGGGCGGCTATTTCTATGCCGTCCGTCTTCCAAACTAGGAACCGATTCCGCATAGCATAAGGTAAGTACGTATTTGCTGCTTCAATTCCAGCCGTTGCTCACGCTGCTCCAGTTAGGCTAGGCATATGTTGCTGATGCAAAGTTTGGCTTTACACCCTAGGGTATTTTTGTCCACAATGGTACTTTCAGAGTTCATCTTTTGCCACTGTGTTCTACGCTGACACGGTATTGAAACAGGGATCAGGTTTTGCTTTCGCTTTGGTTTCCTCGTGCGCTGGAGGCGCACTGCACAGTTCTTCGGCGTGATTCCAATCACAGACATGTTCGTTTGCTTGTCAGCCATACTTGATAATAATACCTGACTGACACCTCAGAGCAGATGCCAGAGGGCCACAGCTCCATCCGCGACTTGCAGATCAGCGTTCAGTCGCCAGTCGGGAAGGTGAATAGGCTCTGGGTAGGGTTTGGAACATGCTCGATGCGAATGAATGATGATTCAAGGATGCAGGCCAGAACGAGATTGACAGGAAATTCACGAAGATATCCCGTGAGAACGTTTTGTGTACCGAAATGCTCGTTGGTGACGGAGCTTGTGACGGTGACGTTGAAATGAGGTTTGTTTGAGGCTCAAGGTTTGGCGGGGTGGAACGCTAGACCTCGGTAAGTTGGACCCCACCAGATCCGATCATCAACGCCATCGATCAGACCATCATCCTTACTTCATCTCATCTTTTTGATTGAGGTACTTATCATCAGAGTGGGAATTCTTGATCCGTCAAGGTAGCTTTTGTTACAAGATTGTCTGCCCAAAGTCGCAGACCACAGCCATATCATCCAATCCTTCCCAATTACCAAGACCCAACGTCCAACAGCCAGGATGCTCTTCATTGGCCTTACGGGCTCCATCGCCACGGGCAAATCGACCGTGTCCTCGATTCTCTCCCAACCCCCTTACTCTATCCCTATCATCGATGCCGACCTCCTCGCTCGTGAGGTCGTCGAGCCTGGCACGAGCGGCTACGCCGCCATCGTTTCGCACTTTGCCTCTTCGACATCAGATCTTCTCGTCCCAGCATCAGAGACCATGCCGGCGCGTGGACCAGACGGCAAGGGCCGTCCCCTTAATCGACCAGCCCTCGGCCGCCGCGTCTTCGGCGACACCCCTGAGCGGCGCGCCGACCGCGCCGTGCTCAACGGAATCGTCCACCCCGCTGTGCGATGGGCCATGTACCGCGCCATTCTGCGCTGCTACCTGCGCGGGAACTGGGCCGTCGTGCTCGACGTGCCGCTGCTCTTCGAGGCGGGAATGGACCGCATGTGCGGCATCGTCACTGTCGTGGCAGTGCGCGACCCGGAGGTCCAGATGGCGAGACTGAGGGCGCGAGACGCGCATCTGAGCGGGGAGGACGCGAGGAACAGAGTCATCAGCCAGGGTGACGTCCGGGAGAAGGCGAGGCGGTGCGAGGCGAGGGGCGAGGGGAAGGGGCTGGTACTCTGGAATGACGGGTCAAGGGAGGAGCTGGAGAAGCAGATCGGCGAAGCCATCAAGGGGATCAAGGCCAAGTCACCCGGGTGGTGGAACTTACTGCTTCTCGGGGCGCCACCCCTGGCGATCCTGGTCGGGTTGTTCAGGTACTGGCAGAATGGGCGTATCAACAAGCAGTGGCATGAGCAGGAGCTGGCAGAAAGGGCAAAGCTGTGAACAAGAAGCTAGAGACATAATCGGAGGCCTTAGTCATTTGAGCGCAGCGGTTATATTCAATTGGAGGCCTTTTCCCTTTTCGTCATTCTCTTTTCTCACTTGTATTCAGTATTGGCGCGTGTTTTTCAATGCAGCTGCCTGACCTTTACGCGAGCTAGTGGCAGCTCGCGGGCGGACAAACCTGCTCCTTCCTGCACTCGATGCCAGAATGGCGTGCCTGCTTTCTTAGATTCTCGAATGAGACGTCATCTGTGTACAGCTATCCAAACGCCCTGGCATTCGGATTTCTAACTCTTCCGTAACACCAGCCCGACACTGAAGCTGTGGATTGCACCTTCAACGTGCCGACAACACCATGAGAAGCGTTGCATCACATTAGTTCAGGTAAAGTATGAAAAACGAGGCCGAACCCGCTAGGAATACACTCGGCGCATCTCTCTGAGATTCTCTCTGGGATCCTCGCGCTTGGCTGATACATTCAATTTAGGATTCACGGCAAGCCATTCGACAGTGGCAGCGACAAATTCGGGGACCCTCAATCTACAGCATCTTTATCCATCTACACCAGGCTGCTGAAATACTCTGGACCATGGTCAAGAAACAGAGAACGCCTACTCTTTGCGAGTGGGCCCTGGGCTTCACCGTTGAGGAGATACACGCCCAGCAGCAGCGTCGTCGACAGAAGCAAGCGAGCCGCAGCAGACAGGAGCGCTTCCGGGTTGAAATTTCCACCGACGACGAGTCTGAGGAAGACACGCTCAAGATCACATACCCGCGTTCTAGTGGCGCCAAAAAGACCGATACGATGGTGAAGAAGGTCCGATTCGAGAAGGAGCTTGGCAAGTCCGTCATCAGGAAGAGATCCGACTCGGAAGCCTCCGATGCTGAAGGATCCAGATCTAAGAGTAAGACGACTGAGGATTCTGTTAAGAGCTCTGACTCGTCCAAGTCTTCTAAGAAGACGTCTGGTGATAAGTCAGCCGACAAGGCTTCAGGTGAGCTGTTTCTAAGCAACCTGCTACATCCTGGCGTTTCTGGCAGAGAATACTGCGCATACTGATACCAACTTAGCCAAGAACAGGAAGACCAAAAAAAAAGCCAAGTTGGCCAAAGGAGACGACTCATCTAGCTCCGATGAAGAGACGTTGAATGATAAGAAAAATAAGAACGGGAAGAAGGACAAGTCCAGTTCTGCCGTTGCTGACGACTCGTCCGACTCGGAGAACGCAGAATCCGACAAGAAAAAGCACGATAAAAGTCAAACCGACAGAAAGAATAAACATTCGAAAAGAAGAGTGGGTAGGGAAGACGAAGCAAGCGATAAGAACTCTGACTGCGAAGATGAGTCCCAGAAGAAAAAGATCAAGAAGAAGGGTGAAAAGTCCGACAAGAACTCCAAGCCCAAGGACAAGAAGGACAAGGCTGTCGTTAAGGACAACAATGTCGGACCGATGAGCAAGAAAGATCGAAAGGCCAAGGAGAGAAAGAAGAACGGGCCTTCATCCGTGGCTTCGAGCTTCGAAAAGCTAAGGCCCGAAGGCTTTCCCCAGCCGCATCCACGACTACCCAACCTTATCATGCCAATTCGCGCCGAGGTCCTGCAGGTCGAACACGCCATTGAGGGGGCCGAAGATCCTCGACCGAATGCCTACCATAGCGGTGAGCATGGCATTGTACGTGTCTATCATGGTCCTGCTTATGGCAATCCACACGGCATGTTATACCCGCGGAGAGACCTCACGAAAGCGAACTTGCCAGCCGGTATGCCGCATCCTGCGAGCAACCCCTGGCAACAAGGGTTTCACCAACCCTCTAACCCAGGAGACATGCAATTCAGTGGTCAAGCCCCTTGGAACTCCTTCTCACTTAGCTCACGGCCTGGCGACCCACAGCCCCTTTCGGGCCTGACGGTTTCGGAGCGCTCCTGCCCCAACTCCTTGGGTCCAGGATACGTTTGCGGGTAGGAGGGGGTCTCATGGGCCCATAAAGCAAATGTCGCCGCCCTTCATGTCCGGTGCGCTGAATGGCGGCATCCCCTCAATGACAGCTGGGGACAAGGACAGAGCTTGGGACACCAAAACTGGACCGCCGGTTAGCGCTAAGCAGGTGAGCCTCTAACAGAAGCGTTTCCATCTTATCGAAGTGTCCTAACAGCTTTCAGGTATCCCCTTCACTTCCTATAAACATTAACATGTACTCGTATGCGGCTCGACCTGATCCATGGACCAAGGAGGGCCGGGAGAGGTACGCAAATCTGGGCAAAGGCCCGGGGAAGTCCAAAAGCGGCATTCCCCCTGGCACCAAGGACTACTGGGACGGGAGCCTACAAAATAACATGGGCCCTGCCATGTATAATCGCGATGAGGCTCGGCAAGGAAGTACAAACGGCAGCAATAACAGCAACGACCGCTCGAGGGCAAAGCATCAGGACCTATCTTGGGGCCCTACGCACGTGAAAGCCTTTGCTGACAGGAACGGTCAGGGCAGACCTGATTGGAAGCAGACTGATGGACATAGTGATATCCGTAATGAAAGCCAGAACGGATCCAACAGAGCCACATGGACTGCGAACAACGATTCATCCCGGGCTGGCGCGAATGGTGGAGAGTGGGGTGCCACCAGCAATGGTCACAGTAACGAAAATGAAACAGATTGGAACCGCAACTGGGACAATAACACCAACAAGCAATGGGCTACTAGTTCCAACAATTCCAAAGGCTCAAAGACGTCGAATCGCAGCGCGGCGAAACCGCAGGCTGACGCCTGGTGTGATTCGAGCAATAATGTCGGCTGCAGCAGCGGCAATTCGAACAAGTCGGGTGGTTCTGGGGGTTCGAAGAAGTCCAGCAAATCGCAGAAACTGACTGCGGATGCTGAAGATTGGACTAACAATGCCGGCCCAGTTGGTGCACCTGGAGACGCCGCTGGTTCTGGCCACGTCTGGGGCCCGACAGACGACTGGAGCAAGGGCAACACTGGTGGTGACGACCCTTCGAGCAAGATGCCGGGAGCTTGGGATTCAACGCCCAATAAGGAGCAGAATGGTGGCTTCCCTTGGGGCGATACCACGGCGGCGCAAGCCGTCCCGGACACGCAGTGGTAGTTGACTGCGAGTCGTCAAGGGCGAGACCAGGCGCGACGTGCCATCAGGTGGTGATTAGTTTTCTTTTGCCATCGTCTTATTTCCGTACAGTACCCACACTTCTATTGAGGGTTTTTGAACTGCATTGCGTTTTTACAGCTCTGTTACAGCGTTACTTGGCATTCCTAGACGCGCAACTTGGGAGGCAACAAAATCACCATATGGTGACGGTATCACATCGCGGCGAGGCATTCGAGGTGGGTCATGGACGTACGGCGAGTGGCACGGAGAAAGGTTTCAGAAGGCTGCTGGTGGGCATGCCATGTATCTCAACGGCGCATGACATTCTTCTATTGCGCGTCACGTCTTCATGAACAAGGTCATGCCAAACTGGTGGCCCATGTGAGAAACCAGGGGTACACTTTATGGCAGCATCAAACCTTATAAGCACTCAAAAGCAAACTTGCAGAGAAGCAATGATAGAAGTGATGAGATTGTAGAAGCGTATATTGTCAATCTAAGCTACGCCGTTCCAATCCCTTCCACATAAAACTGAGCGGAGTCGCAGCTACAACGCCGAGGTCGAAATCCTTGAGTGGTCTAGAACCAGGCATCAAGGCGAAGATTCTCGAAGGCCGAGAGACATACAGTCGTACATCTACTCGTCGTCCTCCTCCTCCTCCTCGGAAGCCTCCTGGAGCCAAGTGAGGAAAGCTCCGCGGCCTTGCGGACCTTCTTGGAGGTGGCGAGGTCGACGTACTTCTTGCTGCCTTGCTACCCCATTTGACGGCGACATCTCGCTGAGGAGGTCGTGGTTGTAGTAGAGCTGCAGGATCTTGACGACCTTCTCGAGGATATCGGGGTGCTCGCCAATGAGAGAGCCGATAAGACGCTCCGTACCACCAAGGAGGGCCTTCTCGTGACGCTCAGAGGTGACAAACTAGACGCAATGTTAGCGTTGTGTCTTGCAAAGGGTACTCAGCGGACGGTACGAACCTGCTTCAGCATGGGAGCACGCTTGGTGATCTGCGCGAGAACGTTCTCGTCAAAGATGGTCTGGACCAGAACCAGGACGGCGCGGTGCTTGCCCTCGATGCCAAGCTCCTTGGCCTTGACAAAGATCTCGATCGAGTCAACCTTGTCCACACTACCCTTCTCCTCAGTCTGTTCGATGATCCAGGCGCCGAGCTGATCGTAGACGGTGTTGCCACCGCCCTCGCCATCCTCATCTTCGTCGTCACCGATGTTGAGCTTCTGCTTGAACTCGCCGGGAAGCTGAGCCTGACGGGCCTTGACGGCCTCCTCGCTCATGTCGACGGCCCACTCGTGGTCCTTAACCTCGACCTCCTGCTCGGCATCCTGAGCCTCGTTCTTCAGCCTCTCAAACTCGTCGTCGCTGCCAGCATCAATATCGTCATTGTCGTTGGAGCCGTTCTCGGAACCCTCGCCACCGCTGCCACTTCCGTGGCCGTTGGCGCCGTTCTCCTTGCCACCGTTGGCCTGGGCCTGCTGCTTGGCGCGGCGAGCGGCCTTGCGCTCGGCCTTGTCCTTCTTGCCCTTCTTCGGCTGGTTCTTGAGGATGAAACCGCTGAGCTTGAGGCGGATGTCGACGTCAGTACGCTGACCGCAGGCCTTGCAGTCAAGAATAATGTGGTCATCCTTGATGATGACGTCCGTCTCAGGGTTCTTGCACTTCTTGCAAAGCACGAACTTGCTGATGAAGCCGTCAAGGTGATCCTGCAGCTTGGGGCCATCGTGGGCACCGTTGATGATCCAACGATCGTCGGCGGGGTCAATGTTGGTCTGGGCACCGAGCTCGAAACCAAAGTACTTGATGAGGTAGGCGCCGGGGCGTGCCAGAGACTGGGCGACACTGGTCAGGTTGACAATGACGGTCTTGATGCCATTGCCCTTGCCCTCAATCTTGGTCTGGAGACGCTCCATCTTGTAGCGGTAGAACTGGTCGGCGACATCGCGACGAACGTTGACGAGAGCCATGATTGCGGTAGTGGATATTGTACGGTCGGGACGACGAGTATTGTGGTATAAAGCGGCTCGTTAGGAGAGTGAAGAGGATAGCTGCGTAGGCGGCGTGGGGCGTTGTCTAGAGGTTCGAGTCTTGATGCTGGGAGGCGAAGCTGTTGGTGCTGGCGCTGGATCTTCCTAAGAACATGGAAGACGAGTATTGATCGTTGTTGGTTAAGGGCCGAAGCGTGTCGGGTTTTTAAGGAGGAGCAGGAAAGTGGCTTTAGTGCTCAAGAGATCGTATAATGGACATGGGGTATGCTGTGACTGGATCGTCTTTGCTTGTAGGACAACATGAACTCGTTGCTTGGTATGATGGTTCAACCGACAGAGGTACTGATGTTGGGGCTACTGGGCTTCCGTTCTATACGAAACGGATGCAGCTTGGTGGGGAGAAAGTGTCTGATGACGGCGGTTTGGTCGTGCTGATACATAAACAGCTTTGTGCTCTGTGTACCAGGAAAAGGGTCGGTGGTCTCGTGGTGTTGGGAGTGAATGGTGGCGATCGTGGGCTGAGAGCCGGTGGGTGTAGACAGAAGCTGTGTGCTGTTTGGAGGGGTAAGATGGGGGCAGCAGAGTGCTGGAGTGGTGGATCGAGACGTTTTTTGCGCGCAATGCAGGCTTTTGAAGTTGTCGTTGGGTTAGGTTGGCAGCAGGGCACAAGGGAGGGGGTTTAAAGTGGGAGGATTGTGAGCGAAGAGTTTTGAGTGTGGTGGGGAGAGCCAGCAGCAGAGAAAAGAGGAGCCTCAAGAGAAGTGGAAAGCCCGACCTGGAACCTGGAGACGCGACGCTGGCCTGAGGCAGCTTACATAACCCGTGTGGATGCACCATCCATGCCTGCCTGCCTCTTTGGGAGGCCTGACAGTGGTCCACAGTCTCAGGTG